CTAAAAGTCAGTACCAACAAACTCGATGGTACCTAACAACAACAACAACAGGGAAGACCAGTTAACATCACTATTATTCAAATTTATGCACCAACCACTAAAATCAGTGAGGATGAACTTGAAGAATTTTACCAACTTCTTCAATCTGAAATTGATCAAACATGCAATCAAGATGTATTGCTCACTACTGGTGACTGGAATACAAAGGTTGGGAACAAAGAAGGAAAATATGGCCTTGGTGATAGAAATGATGCTGGAGATCGCATGGTAAAATTCTGCAAAGCCAATGATTTGTTCCTTTCAAATACCTTTTTTAGACAGCATAAGAGACGACTATACGCATGGACACCACCAGATTAAATACACAGAAATCAAATGGTCTACATCTGTGGAAAGAGATGTTGGAAAAGCTCCATATCATCAGCCAAAACAACGTCAGGGGCAGATTGTGGAACAGACCATCAATTGCTCATAAGCAAATTCAGACTGAAGTTGAAGAAAATGAAAACAAGTCCACGAGAGCCAAAATATGACCTTGAATATATCACACCTGAATTTAGAGATCATTTGCCAAGTTCAGACTTGGAAAATTAGACACTAATAACCAAAGACCAGAAGAGCTGTGAGATGACATCAAAACATTATACAGGAAGAAAGCAAAAAGTCTTTAAGAAAACAAGACAGAATGAAAAGATCAAAATGGATGTCAGAAGAGACTGAAACTTGTTTTCCAGAATAGAGATGCTAAAGCAAACAGAAGAAATAAGGAAGTAAAACAACTGAACAGAAAATTTCAAAGGTCAGCTTGAGAAGATAAAATCAAATATTACAACAAAACATTCCAAGATCTGGAGTCAGAAAACCAAATGGGTTTTCTCATGCTCATCATTTCTCAAGCTGGGGGAACTGAAGAAAAAATTCAAGCTTCCACTTTCGTTACTGAAGGATTTTCTGGGCAAAGTATTGAATGATGGCGAACGCATCAAAAGAAGATGGAAGGAATACATAGAATCACGGTACCAAAAGGAAATGGTTGATGTTCAATCGTTTCAAGAGGTAGCATGTGATCAAGCGCCAATGATGCATTAGATACTAATGACTAAAGTCCAGAATTATGGGATGACACTAAGAACATCATACAGGAAGAAAGCAAAAGGTCATTAAAAAGACAAGAAAGAAGGAAAAGACCAAAATGGATGTCAGAAGGGATTGAAACTTGTTCTCCATCATAGAGATGCTAACGCAAAAACAGAAGAAACAAGGAAGTAAAAGAACTGAACAGAAAACTCTAAGTTTCACTGAAAGCATTGGCCAAGAACAAGGCTCCACAACTTATGGAATACAAATTGACATCTTTCACCAAACTGATATAGTATTGGAGGCACTTGCTCATCTATGGCAAGGAACTTTGGAAAACAGCAACCTGGCCAATCGATTGGAAGAGATCCATATTTGTGCTGAATCCAAAGAGCAGTGAACTAAAGGAATGCAGAAATCATCAGAAACTATCATTAATATCACATGCAAGTAAAATTTTGTTAAAGATAATTAAGAAGTGGCTGTAACAGTACATTGACAGGGAACTGCCAGAGGTTCAAGCCAGAGTCCTTTTTGTTTCCAACCTTTGTACTCCAATCACCAGTAATTATTAACACATTTGATTGCATGTCTGAGGCTGTGGAACAAAGGATATAATTGCTGATGTCAGATGGCTCTTGGCTGAAAGATGTTTATCTGTGATTAAACCAGAAAGATGTTTGTTGTTGTTGTTGTTGTTATGTGCAGTGGAGTTGGTTCCGACTCATAGCAACCCTATACAGGGTTTCCAAGGCTGTAAATCTTTACGGGAGCAGAAAGCCTCATCTTTCTCCCACAGAACAGCTGGTGGTTTCGAACTGCTAACCTTGAGGTTCGCAGCCAGATTCGTAACCACTACGCTACAAGATGTTTTATTAACTATGCAAAGGCTTTTGACCATGTGGATCATGATAAGCTATGGATAATATTGTGAAGAATGAATGTTCCAGATACTTAATTGTAATTATGAGGAACCTGTACATAGACCAAGAGGCAGTCATTTGAACAGAACAAGTTGACACTGAACGGATTAAAATCAGGAAAGGTGTGTGACAAGTATAGTTGCCTTTTATGTTGCTTAAAAAAATATTTGCAATGAAGAAGTCATTGGTCTTTTAAAATTCTATCATATGTTCTTCAGCATCGTTTCTATCACCAAGGCCATTACTTTCCAACTACTGATCAGTCCTTTTTGTTTCCAATCTTTGCACTCCAGTAATTATTAATACATTTGATTGCATGTCTGATCAATTTCAGAGTGAAGAAGTTGGTAGAATTCTTCCATTTCATCCTCACTGATTTTAGTGGTTGGTATGTAAATTTGAATAATAGTGGTATTAACTGGTCTTCCTTATAGCCGTATGGATATTATCCTATCACTGACAGCATTGTACTTCATGAAAGATATTGATATATTGTGATTAACTTTGCAGTCTAGGAGCGGCGGTCCCTGGGACCATGAAGGCAGAATTGCGGAGAGCAGGACCCTACCCAGAGAAGCAGTGATGCCTGAGATGGAGGCAGAGACGATGACGTGAAGAGATGGAGCTGAGGACTTTAGACCCAGAGAGGGAAAGGGGCTGTGTGCTGACGACCGGGGGTGGGGGAGGTGGAGAAGAATGGGGGGGCAGGCTTGTAGATTATACCCTTTGGTTGGATGATGATGCATGGAGGGGAATGTAACCATGGCAATGAAACAATATATGATAGGATGAATGTAAAACTAATGTTCTCCCATGTAAACTATCACATAATTCACAATAAAACGTTTAAAAGAAAAAAAAAATAGATTTTGATATGTTCGCTTTGATGATGAATGCAACGCCATTCCTCTTCAATTTGTCATTCCCCCATAGTAAATGATGTGATTGTCAGATTCCAAATGGCCAATATCAGTCCATTTCAGCTACTAATGCCTAGGATGCTGATCTCTACGTGTTTCATTTCATTTTTGACAACTTCTAGTTTTCCTAGATTCATACTACATGCATTCCATGTTCCAATTATTAATGGATTTTTACAGTTGTTACTCCTCATTTTGAGTAGTATCCCTTTGGCAAATGAAGGTCCCGAGGGCTTTACTCCATTTGTATCATCACAGTCAAATCTACCTTGAGGAGGCTCTTCCCCAGTCGCATTATGAGTGCCTTCCAATCTGAGGGGCTCATCTTCCAGCACTGTATCTGACAGTGTTCTGGTGTTCTTCATCATGTTGCAATATTAAATAATCTGGTGCTGACATCATTCCACTTCTACTCTTAAGATTTTCAGTGACTAAATATTTGGTAGTCCATCTATCTTTCTTCCTAGTCTGTCTTTGTCTGGAAGCTCAGCTAAAACCTGTCCACTGCTGGTGACCCTGATGGTATTTAAAATACCTGTGGCGTCATTTCCAGAATCACAGCAACACATAAGCCACCACAGTATGACAAACTGACAGATGATTGCTAGACAATAACAAGGTTGTACTCTTTCATCATACTTATTCAGTCTGAATGCTGAGCAAATAATCTGAGAAACTGGATTAGATGAAGAAGAACCTGACACTAGGATCAGAGGAAGACTCATTAATAATTTGCCATATATAGATGATACAACCTTGCTTGCTGAAAGAGGAGAGGACTTAAAACACTTACTGATGAAGATCAAAGATCACAGCCTTCAGTGCAGATTGTACCTTAATATAAAGAAAACAAAAATCCTCACCACTGAACCTACAAATAGCATCAAAATAAATGGTGAAAAGGTAGAACTTGTCAAAGACTTCAAAGATTTCATTTTGCTTGAATCTATAATCAGTACTCATGGAAGATTCAGTCAAGAAATCAAACGACATATTACACAAGGCAAATCTGTCCACAAAACCACTTTCTTTAAAGTGTTCATGAACAAAGATGGTCAGTTTGAGGACAAAGGTATGCCTGACCCAAGCCATGGTAGTTTCAACAGCCTCATATGCAAGTGAAAGTTGGACAACGAATAAGGAAGATCATAGACGCATTGATGCATTTGAGTTATGGTGTTGGAGAAGAATATTAACAGTGCCATGGATCGCCACAAGAACAAACTGTGTTGGGAAAAGTATAGCCAGAACGCTCCTTAGGGGCCAGGATGACAAGGCTTAGTTTCTCATACTTCGGACATATTATCAGGAGGGACCAGTCCCTGGAGAAGGACTCATGCTTGGAAAAGTGGCAGTTACCATTGGGGAAGACCCCCAACGAGATGGACTGGCACAGTGGCAATAGCAGTGGGCTCAAATATAACAAAGATTGCTATGATGGTGCAGGACTGGGCAGTGCTTCGTTCTGTTTTCTACAGCATCACTATGAGTCAGAACCAATTCGTTGGCACCTAACAACAATGACAAGTCATGGTGAACGAGCATTATTCCCTATTTTAATAGGACTATAGAATTATGTCATGAACATACTATACTGTACTTTCACCAAAATATTTCAAACCATTTTTAGGATTTTATTCATATATTTTAGAGCATTTGGTATTTAGTTCAGAAATTTTCCAAACTGCCAGGCTATTGGCTTGACTCCATGCATTTTATATGTTAACTCATCCTTATCCAGAGGGGCTTAATGGATAGGAACAAGAAGATGAGAACTTCCAAAGTCAAGAATGCAATATAGTGTGAATCTGGCAAACGAAAGAACATTACTTAGGAACCTGTTTGTCAACTATATTTCCTAGAATATGGACATTTTTTACAATATTAAGATGGGGCTACCAACACCATGAGTCAGTTTCCAGAACAGTTATGGGCTCAGTCCTTATAAAATAATTATTCTTTTAAAAATGAAATAACTGATATCCAAAACTCACCAGAAGAAATCTTCCCAGCACCTTTATAGTCAACAGACAATGCAGATGTGACTCCATTGGCTGACCCCAGTTCACACATGGGAATTTGATAAGGAGGCCTCAGTTTGATTTCTGTCTGCATATCAGACAGATTTATTTTTGTTGAAAGAGACCTGGGATTATTGTACCGCTGCTTGGTCCTCTGAATGAAGTTATCTATGTAAAACAAAAAATAAATTTCCTTGCTGTCATGTATGAATTAAATCATTAAAAAGCGTGATGTTCATGGATTTTACAGATAAACAACTTTTACAGACAAATTTTTACCAATAAACAATTGAATTTGTTATTCAAAATGGTTCAATTTGACAGGGAATATTCTAAAAGCATTTGTGCTTATATGTTAATATAAAATGGAGTAAACAGTTTTATACCCTAGAAATTAATAAATGTAAGTAAGTTTAGTATTACATGTGTGAGAGAATATTCTTACTGCATCCACTTCAAGGAATTACAGAAAGAAAAATCATCTTTAAACCAGAGTCTTCATTTTTATAGGAATTCTGAATCTAATGAAATATTGTGTCAATATTAGCTATAATTACACAAGAACATACACTTTGTGTTGTGGGTTTTTATACATATGTCCTTATTTATTGCTTATAATATTAGGATATAAATCTTCAAGAACAAATTTAATGAAATCAATAAAAGGTGTTTCCTAAATTATCTTCGAAGTCAAACTGCAAACTTAGTATTTGTAAATTGGTTCTACTTTTTTTCCCCCCTCTACACTAGTCCATGGCATGTAACAACAACATGTTAGGAATCAAGCAAGCTTATGCCCACACACCTAGATTTAAATTCAACCTGCTGACTATTTTTATAAATAAAGTTTTATCGGAACATAACCATTCATTTATATACTATCCAGTCCTTTACTGAAAATATTTGTTCACCCCTGTTCTACACCAAGCAGACGCTATAAGAGTATCACATAAACACAAAACTCTGCATATCTGAGAAACTGTTCTCTATCGGTTATATTCCAATAAAGGACAGGATTAATTCTTGGTGCCAGTAAGCATGATCCCCTTCACAGTACAACCACAATTTTTTCTAATAGGCACCTTAATCAGGTTAAGAAGTTGCCGTAAGTTATATATCATTTGCCAAGTTTTTTCACAAAAGCAAGATAGCAGAATTTTCTGTGTTTCCACTTCTGCCCCCTGTATCAGATGAAAAACTGCTATGACTGAAGGAGACAGGATAATAAAAGAAAAAGCAAAATCAGGCCCTTACCAAATTCAATGAAACAGTATGGTCTGACAGCAGTATTTGTCTTCATCATGTTATAAGTAGTAATGAACTCCTTCTGAAGCTCATCCAGGAAAGAGAAGGCCAGAACATTTGGGTAATTTTCAGTGCACAACATCATGTAGCTCACTCCCAGAGAGCTAATAAAACTACAGTGTAAAAAACATTGGTTTTAAAATTTCAAATTAAATCAAGGTAATTCGTTGCTTCACAAGACTGGTTTTATACACCATAAACTGCTACAACAGTCGTAATGAAAATATTAATATTTATTATCTATTCCATCAAAAATTTTAAAGGAACCAAAATATGCTTATTAAGTTATAGTTTAAAAGAGTATACAAAAGGGTAAAAAGAAAAGGAATGAATAAATATACAAGTATCTAAGGGTACAAATAAGCTGAAAGTTTAACCCTTTTCCCCAGTGGGACTTACTCCTGTTTAAGTCAAGAATCCTTTAGCGTCTAATGAACGTTCTAACACTCTTTCCAGAAATACGCTCAAACAACACAACATTTGCACACAATTTCAGGGAGGTTACTGACCTCTTGAAGTCATCCAATGATACCAGAGTTAATTCTCTACTTCATACAGTAGTGAATTATAAACCTTGGGGAAAAGGGAGTGTCTGTGTATGTTGAAGTTATGAGTCCATAATAATAAATAAATGAAAATAAGGCCAAAGTAGGATTCTGGCTTAAATTCAATGCTGAGTGCTGACTACAAAATGTAAAGGTAGTGCTGGAATTGGAAAAAAAATCAATACTTTGCCACCATCATAGTAAAGACTGGGTCAGGCAAGGACAATAAATAGATGCTAAATCTAGGGGAAGATTTTAGTGAAGAGCAGGATATTTGCACGACTTTAAGGTGTCTTTCCATGCAGTGCTATCAGTTACAAGGAGAAAATACTAATTGTACAGTAGACAACAAACAACACCTTGACTAGGTACTCTAACATCATTTAGGAGGGACAGGTGGATATTATGAAAATATTTAAGAAAAACACATCATCTCTGTAGTATTCTTCCTGAGAGCACATTGTCTAAATCTATTCATGAGAAATGCCTCAGAATGAAAAAAAAAATCTGTTGAAAAAAGAGGAGGGGCTGTATTCTTTTAAAATCTCAATGTTATAGAAGAAAGCAAAGATGTGGAAATGACTCAGAACAAAAGAGGTTAAAGAGACATGATAACTAAATGCAATACCTGGACCTAGACTGAATCATGTTATCAGAGAAGGAACAAAGTGCTGCAAAGGACATTTCTGGGTCAATTAACCAAAATGAGAATGGACAGTACATTAAAGCATAGTATCAATATTTAATTTACTCAAGTTTTACTATAATTAAATAAGAGATTATCACTAATCTTAGAAAATATAACAATGCAATTAGGAATATAGAAGATGGTATCTGTAAGTTACTATCTCAAATGGTCACACAAAAATAAATATGATAGAGAAAGTGGCAGAGGTAAAGAGACACGTAGGGGACATAACATAATGCAATGGGTAAAATGTTTTAAAAAGTTAAATCTGGGAAGAGATACTGGTTGTACTTTTCTTATTCATGCAACCTCTCAATGCAAACAAAATTTTCTATTTGAAGCATTAAACCATTTAAATTAAACATGTTATCACTGGAAGAAAATAAAACTTTCCAGAAAATAGTACTGAAAACATACGAGCTTTGAACATTCCAACACATGGAAATCCTATGAGTGTCAGAGTAGAAGTGCAATAGCTCTGGTAGCGTAGTGGTTACAAATTGGGCTGCTAACCTCAGGGTCATCAGTTTGAAACTACCAGCTGTTCCGTGGGAGAAAGATGAGGCTTTCTGCTCCCGTAAAGATTTACAGCCTCGGAAACCCTATACAGGGTCACTATGAGTCAGAACCGACTTCACGGCATATAACAACAACAACAATCTTATGGAGGAGTCCTGGTGTGACACTGAAGGAAAAGCAGGGATTACTAACCAGAAGGTCGGCAGTTCAAAAACACCAGCTGCTACTTCAAAACCCTCTAAGGGTCAAAAAAAAAACAAAAAAAAAAAAAACCCAACCCTTCTAAGGTCTAAGGGTCACTGTAAGTCAGAACCAATTTAACAGCATGTAAGAACATTATAAAAGCGGGTCGTCAGGTCTTTCTTCTATAGTGTCAACTGTTGTTGAAGTGCCATTGAGTTGGTCCGACTTATAGCAAGCCTGTATAGGGTTTCCAAGAAGCAACTGGTGAGTATGAACCACCAACCTTGCAGTTCAAACTGAGCTTGAGGTTGAGTGCTTATCTTACAGCGCCACTTGTTGTTGTTGTGAAGTGCCACTGAGTTGGTTCTGACTCATAGCGACCCTGTATAAGGTTTCCAAGAAGCAGCTGGTGAGCTTGAACTGCCAACCTTACAGCGCCATTTGGTGGATTCAAATCACCAACCTTCCCATTAGCTGTTCTTGTTAAGTGCGAACGAGTTGGTTCCAACTCACAGTGACCTTGTATAGGGTTTCCGAGGAGTGGCTAGTGGTTGTTAATGAGTCTTCCTCCAATCCTGATGCCACATTTTTTTTCATATAAAACAGCTTCTAGAATTATTTAATTAACATATTGATTGAATAAGTATGGTGAAAGAATACAACTCTGGTGCACACCTTCCCTAATTTTACACTATACTAGGTGAACAACTGCTTCTTGGTATATATACAGGTTTCTCAGGAACACAATTAAGTGTTCTAGAATACTCATTTTCCACAATGTTGTCCATAGCTTGTCATGATCCAAAGCTTTTGCAAAATCAATAAAGCACAGGTAAACATCCTTCTGGTATTCTCTGCTTTCAACCAATTCCATCTGACGTCAGCAGTGATATCCCTCATTCTATGTCCTCTTGTGAATCTGGCTTGTACCTCTGGAAGTTCTCTGTCAATGTATGATTGCAGTCATTTTTGAACTGCCTTTAGTAAAGCTTTACTCACATGAGATACCAATGATACCGTCTGATATTTTCTGCATTCCCTTGGGTCACCTCTCTTTGGAATGGCACAGTTACAGATCTCTTCCAGTCAGTTGGCCATGCAGTTGTCTTCCAAATTTCTTGGCATAGATGAGGGAGTGCCTCCAGTGCAACATCAGTTTATTAAAAGATTTCAATTTGTATTCCCCATCAATTCCTGAAGCCTTGTTCTTTGCCAATCCTTCAGTGCATGTTGGACTTTTTCCTTTAGTACCACTGGTTCTTGATCACGTGTTACCTCTTGAAATGGTTGAACATCTTTTTGGTACAGCGACTCTATGCATTCTTTCTATCTTCTTTTGATGCTCTCTGCATCATTAAATATTTTTTCCCATATTCCTTCAATATTGCAAGATGGGGCTTGAATTTTTATTTCAGTTCCCTCAACTTGAGAAATGCTGAGCATGTATTTCTCTTTTGGTTTTCTAACTCCAGGTCTTTGCACATTTCGTTGTAATATTTTACTTTGT